ATCATGAATAATATTAACTACTTATTTACTTCTCAGTGTCTTGAGGCAACTTAAAAAAGTACATTCTGTGTTTTTATTATTATTTAGGCAGTTAAATACTGCACAGTATTTAAAGCAATAACACAAGAATACGCGTGCTTGAGTCAATGTTCGCTCGTATGTGAGGCCTTGTCGAATAGTATCCTGTAGGTGGGCCATCGTGCGTGTTTTGTTTTCGATGTAAACTCGCGGAGATGAACAGGCCTGGTTGTGGTTGTGCTGTATAGTATACGTCAGATGGTGGGAACGGTTTTGAAACTTATACCAACGACATTATGGTTCAAAATCCATTGGATGAATTCGTCACAGTCGTGACTAATTTACTAAAGATATTCCTCATAAATGTGACCAATTTACTACAGAAATACGTCATAGCCATGTGACCAATTTACTGGAGATATTCGTCATAATTGTGGGACCAATCTACTGGACTTTTGTCATAGAGGGAGGGATGAGCGATACACTGGAGAAATTCGTCTTAACAGTGTGACGAATGTACAGAAATTCGTCACAAGTGTGACCAGTTTACTTCAAGTCTTCATCAGAGAGAATCTTCATCTGAATGATTTCGTCTATCCTGTGGAGGTCTTTCAGAGACATTTTCCTGTTCCTCTCTCTTACATTAAAGAAAGACAATAGAAGTTAAAATGTATCAGGTAAATTCACCACAGTGGTGTGCGTTTAAGCAATTTACTGAAGAAACTCGTCATAACTACGTGACCAATTCACTGCATAAACTGTCATGTTTATGTGACCAATATTCTGTAGAAATCTGACATAGATGTGTGACTAATCTTCCGTATGAATTCGTCACAAGTGTGACCAATTTACTTCATATCCTCATCAGTGAGTGGTACTTTCTTGGTGTCCTGGATGATTTCGTCTATCCTATGGAGGTCTTTCAGATACATTTTTCCTGTACCTCTCTCTTACATTAAAGAAAGACAATATGAGTTTAAATTCATTAGGTAAATTCGTCACAGTGGTGTGAGTTTAAGCAATTTACTGAAGAAACTCGTCATAGCTACGTGACCAATTCACTGCATAAATTGTCATGTTTATGTAACCAATATTCTGGAGAAATCTGACATAGATGTGTGATTAATCTTCCGTATAAATTCGTCACAAGTGTGACCAGTTTACTTCATGTCCTCATCAGAGAGTGGTATTTTCTTGGTGTCCTGGATGATTTCGTCTATCCTATGGAGGTCTTTAAGAGACATCTCTCCTGTGCCTCTCTCCATCGGCCTAGGCTGCGACGGGTCTGGTTTCCAGCCTAGGAAGTTGATTATTTGGAACGTGGCTGGAACGCCGCGAGTTTTGCGCTCTGGAATTTCCTGGAATTTTCATTACAGATATTACTTATGAGGTAATTATGTAAGAATTTAGTCTCGAATACAGAAAAAAAAGTGAGTTTCCACCACAGTGGAGAGATACTACTAAGTAATAGTAATAAGTAATAGGCAAATCAATCAAATTATCAATTGTTAAAGTATATGAATAAATGAATAAAACAACAGAAATAACATGAGAATTTTCAATAGTGAATATATTCTGTATTGAAATAATACTCTTCAACTTCAAAATTAATATTAAGTACACTAGCTACCTCGCTCTTGCTAAATGTCTGCAAGCGAGACAGAAAGCACTTGTCAGACAGACACAAATCTTTACATTTGTTGATCACCTCAACTAAGACTAAGAACTCATGGCGCGATTTTCACCCGCGCCCGCGGCGGTTGCGGGCCCGCAGCTTCTGTAGAATGTAGATCCTTATGTAAAAACTAAGAGTAGGCGCACACCGTTGATTTTTAGTTGGCCGATAGTTGTGCCCGATTTCAAATTGTATGAAGAATCGGCCAAATCGAATCGGCGTAGTGTGCGCACTCCCATACATGCCCATACTGATCAACTGCCCGACTAAACTATCGGCCGACGAAAAATCAACGGTGTGCGCCTACTCTAATGCACAACTCACGACGTGGTTTTCGCCCGCAGCGGGCGCGGTTGTATGCGGGTCCCGCTCGGCGGGTGACTTAGCACGCGTGAGTTCTTAGTATAACCGCGCAAATAACCGCTCCCGTGAGTTTTGAAATAAAACCGCAATTCCACAACCGCCGCGGGCGCGGGTGAAAATCGCGCCGTGAGTTCTTAGCCTTAAAAGGTGACTGAGTTTCTTCCGCCACTTCTTCTCAGCACCAGCCCATATGTTGTCCCGAAGTGGTGGTAGGGCAAGCTATATTTGGGACGTGTATAAGTGCCCTGGAAAGGGCCTATGGACTGAATAAACTATTTTATATATTTAAAAGTATATTTATACTCACTTTCCCATACATCTCTTCGTAAATCGCAGCGGCGGCGAATTGCACGTCGCGTGACAAACGCAGCGGGCGGTTAAACGCCGCGTTCGACTCGCCCATAGTTCGAATGTCGTTCATGACGTGCCAGGCTGATGGGTACCATATGGTTATGGAGTCTACATCGACTGTTTGGAGGGTGAAGCCGCTCCTAGAATGAAAAATATAAGTCATTTATTTTATTGGGAAAATCATCACTTTCCGTCAGGTTTTTTTTATCCACATCGAGGAAGCTCTTGGCCTGTATCTCACCTGATGGTAAGTGACGAAGGTGGAAGCGAGCTTCACTCGGAAACCTCAACCATGGAGGAACTGGCTATCTTACCTCTAACTGCCGGAACACGACAATGCTGTTAACATAATCATTGTCGAACGCACAACGTTGAATAGAGCTCTGTGATTGGTTCGTGTGTCACCCTGTACGTCCACGCGCACTGTGAGACCTCATAGTAATGTTTGTGAATACGTTAGTTAGTCTCCACTGCAGGAGCACGACTCTCTAATTTACCAGATGCAAATTAAACAAAATGCAACTCAATTAAAATAAATTTACCCACCTACTGTTAACTTTCTCCCGGGACAAACTTGGCCTTCACTGGTTGGGTTATTGGTGGTCAAGCTGTAGATCCTGGCTACACAGAAAATGCAGCGGTGGGAACGAGAGGTGGGAATAGTCCCGTACATACTGTTTTTCTTAATATGGAAGAGCGGTGCTTCCTAGCACAAGCAACATCTGTTGCTTAACAGGAAGCTCCAACAAGTTATAACTGAACTAGGCTAAGTTAAAGAAATAAACTAATTTGAATTTGAAATTAAGGATTTGTTCATTTGGCTCACTCATTGAGCCCCAACCGTATCATAAGTCTATGTTAGCACAGCTTCTTGCTAAAGACATTAATCACTCATCGAATGAGCAGCTGCCCTATAAATACTAGCTTTTGTATAAATATAAAAGCGAAAGGTCACTGACTGACTCACTCATCACGAAATCTCAGAAACTACAAGTGCTAGGAGTCTCAAATTTTGCATGGGGGTTCCTTTAAGAACGTAGGTGCCGGATAGTCTACGTTAGCACAGCTTCTTGCTAAAGACATTAATCACTCACGCATTGAGGAGCCCCCCAATGTCCCGGATCCTGGTGAACGAGGACGATATGCGGGAACACGCCCCCCAAGCGCTCCGTCTCAGCTCCATATCGATACTTCTCAGTGTCTACATTCAATAGTATTGTGGCGACATCTATCGACGCGCCACTGCAGACTAGTGGTAGTGGTCACCCAACAGATGGCGCTGACATAAAATCTGCATCGCGGTGTCAGAGTTTCCTGCCTGGATTGGTATTAGAAATCCGATAGTATACCTTGGTCTTGAGCACAAGCACTGGGATGGAAGCAATTCCATCTTAGCTTTTTTATGTGGTTGATCATCAAATCTCACACTACTGTTGAATTTATTAGATGTCCACAATCAAACACACTCACGCATTGAGCATCCCCCTTATGTCCCCTATTGCACTCACTCATTTAGCGCGCCCTATGTCCCCATTACACACATTCATTTAGCAGCCCCCTATGTCCTCCAGTAAAATACTTATGCATTGAGAAGCCCTACTAATTCCCGGATAAAGTCAACGTTAGGGCAGCTTCTTGCATAGGATATTATCGTCCGTATTCACAAACGATGACATCTATCGACTTGCCACTACAGACTGGTGGTAGTCGTCACCCAACAGATGGCGCTGACAAAAAATCTGCATCGCGGTGTCAGTTTACTGCCCGACTGGTATTAGAAAACCGATAGTATACAACTGGACTATGGGACTGTTATTCTGAGAGTTGATCATCAAATTTTTAAAAGAAAGAAAGAGAGAAAAAATATTAATAATATAAGATTATACGGAACTAGCGGCCACCTGCGACTAGGTACGCGTGGATACCGTTTTAGCCCCTCAGGAGATGAATTTTGCAAAATCCCGTCTTAGTGAGCACCTAAGTTTTAAAAGGAACCCCCATGCAAAATTTGAGGCTCCTAGCACTTGTAGTTTCTGAGATTTCGTGATGAGTGAGTCAGTCAATCAGTGACCTTGGCTTTTATAGATATAGATTACCCGCTTATGAGGGAAAAATTTCCGTGCTTTTAAGCGATTTTGTGAAAAATATTATTGGCAGGTAGTTGCTAATTGCTCATAAGATAGGCCCCCCTAATTTAATTTATTGTCCGTGGTGCATAATCTTTTTCTTAAAGGTTTTAAACCTTTGTTTGTCACCTGTCATCCGCTTTGCAATGGAGGGAAGTCGAACCTTAATTTCAAACTCCTCCTATGTTCTTCTGATTAATTTCGTTGCGGGTCCAATGACAGTTTAACTTTCCCCCGGGACAAACTAGACCTTCATTGGTTGGGTTTTTGTGGCGGTCAAGCTGTAGATCCTGGCTACACAGGAGTTGCAGTGGTGGGAACGAGAGGTGGGAATAGTCCCGTTTATGAGGGAAAAAGGTAAATGAAACTTACGCATTGAGCAGCCCCCCAATGTCCCGGATCCTGGTGAACGGAGACACGTGCGGGAACACGCCCCCCAAGCGCTCCGTCTCAGCTAACTGCAACGCTTGGCGGAGTTCCATTAGAGTGTCCCCGCCGAATACTGTGGCCATGAACACCTTTGGACAAAAGAAGTTTACATCATCATTTCAGACAAGACATTCACAGCTGAACACGGGTCTCCTTTAATGATTTTTAGAGCGCTTTCACATTTAAGCGACTTTAGCAGCGCGACAAACGCGCAACAGGCGCTGCCGACAGGGTGGAAAAAAATCATGATTTTTATAATTTAATCAAAAAAATCAGATTTTTTTGAAAAAATCGTTCGATTTTTTTATTTATATTGATTTATTTGATTTTTATTACATTTTGCAATCATTGCCTTAGTTTTTCATGCGGAAAACATGTTTATTTAGGTACAACTGAGGTATAGTACTGGGAACAAGCCAAAAAAAGTAAATTGTGTAAGATGGTATGTCATATTTTTACTGAAACAAGAAAAAACTTTCGTCAAAAACAGCTCGTCTTAAGTGGTGTCCGTTTCCATTACAAAAACATGAATATCTTAATACAATTATCAATTTTTTTTTCGCAAAAAGAAAATCTATGGAAAAATATTATTTTACCAATTTTTCATACAAAACGGCTATTTCACACTTGAACACCTAAATCAACATTGTTTTCGAACATTATAGTTGATTAATATGCACTCCCAGTGTTGCATTAATTCCATTTTCGGATATTGATTTAAATCAGTGATTTTTATAAAAAAAATCATGCAATAAAAATCGTGATTTAAATCATGATTTAAATCAACTGATTTAAATCATGCAACCCTGGCTGCCGATAATTTCATACTACACTTACAACATCGGATGCCTGCCTTCACATTACGCTGCTGTCGCGCTTCTCACGCCCTAATGTGAAAGCGGCCTTAGATTGACTTGAATGCAGCCTGCACTCAGGGCCGCGCCGCCCCTGTGTGCGATGTGTGCGGCGCACACAGGCGCCAAGACAATAGGGGCGCCGCGCCGCTACTGCCACCTAATTTTTTTAAAATGGAGTATCGAGTAAGTAGGTACAGTATGCGCAACATAGGCCTTGTACACAACAAAACAAATATTACGCTTATTAAACAAGTATCTCAATATTTATATTATGTTTATTATGATTCACGTTTATGGTTTCATTTTACGCTTAGGGTTTTAGTTTACATTACTAAACGTTAAAACGGCGGCAGTTCTTTTGAACCTCAGATAAAGTACTAGTGTAACAATATCGCATTTATCAATCAATCAATACTACTAGCGCCATCTCGTGGTGTTCGCCTGCATTACCAAGCCTCCGCGGATCACCGTGCTTATTGCAAGATGTATCCAGTTTAGGAAGTGTTTACGCCGCTCGCCGCTAGATGACACTAGCACATTGAGAGTCGATTTCTACACCGCGGTGTCCAGATTTTTTTTCCCTTAAAGACCTTCCGACGATTATGTTGAATATTGTAAGAAGAAAGTAAGCAAGTAAAGTAATAACCTGAGGTTGCATCCGACTGTGACGTTCTTTAGGGGAATCGCAGATTGGGACTTCCGAAGGCGCATTACGAATATTTGCCCCGTGACTCCGCGTCTGTCTCCAACGTCCTGATTGGAATTGGTTGACGGACGGAGCACGCACGCACTATTTTTGTATAATACGCTGGTACTGCGAAGTAAAAGTACACTTTTTGCTACACCCTGGCCTTCTTATTTGGACCCTGCACCTCAAGCTTGTCAGCCGAGACATTCACACCTTTTATACTGGCGTCCCAACGGTGGGCCTGACAAGCACTAGTCCTACCTGCATCTGCACACTGGCGATTCAACGGTCACTCTGTGAAGCACATGTCATCATACACTGGCGACCAGCGGTAGACCTGATAGGCAGCAGTCCAAGATGGTGGTGATCTTAGCATATGAACAGTTCCAGCTGCTACTCGCGGAAATTTCACCGGGTCGGCAAGGAAATTTCACTCATTGCAATTCCTGTTGAATTTTTTATCGTGGTTTGTACTTTTGTTAAACTTTGGTGGTTCGTAATTACCTATTCAATCATTATCTGGATCTGAAATTTATTTTATTTGACTAAAGACATATTCGATATTAATATCAAATAAAAAAAGCGGTTGAAAACATGCGAGAAAAAGAATTGAAACAGGTTTTAGGTCATATTTTGAAAAAAATAAATAAAAACAAAAACATCAATTTAAAAAAAAAATTAAAGGTGATATTAATGGATTGCCAATGATCTTAAAAACATGTCTAGCTTCTCTTCTTTTTTTAAATTAGATATTGAAATTCGTCAAAAATTCAAAGTTTAGGGAAGAAAATGGAATAATAATACAAAAAATATAATTATTATAAAAGGGTCAAATGGGCGAACTTGTATTCTTAAAATGACCTTACCTATACACCCACGAAGTTTGTCTAACCTTCCGCCAAACACCCTGTATCATTTGATAGAAGGTGTAAGGTGCGCATTGAATTATTATAATTGAGTTTACTTTTTCGTAGTAGGTAATTGGCAAGCAGAACGAACGGGATTTACCTATTTAGTAAGCTAATTCCTAAGTGGTTTCCAGTTTTAATACACTTATGATAATATTATCTAAGTAGGTACTGTAAATTTAAATTCAAATTCATTTATTTGCACAGGAACATGGTACAATACAGATGTCAGATAAAAACAATCAGGTTCAACATGTTTCGTCTACAAGACATGCAAAAATTTCATAGTCAATTACTTAATACTTAAAACTGGAGAACATCTATTTTAATCAAAATTAACAATTAAATTATTCTTTAAAAATTTAAATTCGTTTTTTTATGACGATTCATTAGAAAAGAGGCGCTTCATAGGTTTCGCACACAGGCGCTGCCGGCGGTTGGCGCGGCCCTGCCTGCACTTGAATGGATAAAAAAAATACTCCAAAAAAGTACACTAAAAGTAGAAAAGTATTAGCCATTTTGTCTTATTTTACAATCCTTAAATTCTGAACAACAACTTTTGAAACATTATTTTGTCCTAATTATTTTTTGTATTTGTATTATTTTGTCCTAATTATTTTGAAAGTCCTATATGTATTAAACTAAATTTATTAAATATTTCAAATTAATTTCCAGTATCACCAATAATAGTATATGTATACAAAAGTGCTAAATAAAAGAAAATTATTAAAAGTTCTCAATGGGTGTACAAACATGTACAGTGCGCTCATGCGCGGCCCCTAAACAAGATAAGCATAAAAGTTTTCTATTTTATAATAATATTAATTAACTTACCCCATCAGGTTTCAGGCATTTCATGACCTTATCAAAGCAACCAGGCAGGTCGTTCACCCAGTGTAAAGCCAGCGACGACACAAATAAATCTATGCTGTCGTCTGGAAACTGAAATAACAATAAAAAAAATATTTAGGGATGTGTAGGTATTCAAAACTCTTTTGGTACCTGAAACATACATTATTATTGTTTTAATAAAAGACTTTACTAAAGCCTGGTCTCCGAATATGTAGAATTTTGTCCAATGACCCCATGCTACCCATCCTTATTGCTCGCGCGTAATTATATTGCTGTCACGACTGTGCGACGGGCGCCCGCAGTGAGTGTGCGATCGCGACAGCATAATTACGCGCGAGTGATAAGGATGGGTAGCTTGGGGTCATTGGACAAAATTGTACGTGCTCGGCGACCAGACTATAGCTGTCTACATTTTTCTGGGAATAAATCATCATTATCAGATTGTCAGTCCATTGCTGGGTTTAAGCCTTTCCCATTGCGTGGAACTATACTGCATCAAGGCCTATAATTTCACAGTTTTTATTCAGCAAGAAAGAACTAAAAAATATTTTTTTTTAAATAAGATATGCAAGGTGGCTCTCTATTGTTTAATAAATACTGTTAGTATACAGGGTGTGTCGTAAATAGTGGTCCAAAGCAAAGGGGTTGATACACTATACACTGAGGTACCACATACCAGTATTTACATTGCTTTGGACCACTATTTACACCACACGCTGTATTTAAAACACTTACATCGATGTTCTCTTCATCCATAACAATCTTCTCAAACTGCACTCCGTCACCAACGATTGCTTTGTCTAAGTGAGTCTGTGATGTGTCGCACAACGTGACCTTCTCCACACTATCTGGGAGAAAATGGCGGGAAACATACGCACGACTTGCCCCTGGAAAAATATTGAAAATAACTTTAACAATAGAGACCTACAATATGGAGCAAAACTTATAAGCAGCTAAAGTAATGTATAAAAAAATCAAGTAATCATGTTTTTATTACATTTGTATCGTAAATGTACTGTTTAGGATTGTGTATGATGTCCTAATATGTATCATTTAGGTTGTTTTAATAGATGAACTAGTTTTAAAAATTTAACACACTTCACAGGGCCTTTATGAGATCCAAATCTGCAAATACTAGCTTGGAAGTCAGGACTACAGATCAGTGGGTCGTTGTAATAGTAATTAATGTTCTTTACCAAGTTCCACAGCGTTTTTGAATGTCCTTTTTATATCAAAAACCCTGTCAGCAGTCCTCCATCCTACTTCTTCTCTAATATGCTCTACGTGGTGATAATCGTCTCTTTGGGCCGACCGTTCCCTCTGCAGCATCTTGGCCTTCCTATCAAATATATTCATAGTCCTATACACTGAGCTAGCGGTCTTAACTTTCGTTGTTTTGTGTCGCACGAAAACTGCGCCATTGTAGAAAAGATTTGCGTCGATTACTGAAGGTTTGCTAAGGCAAATCCTCAAGCAGCGGTGCAGCGAATTAGAATTAAGCATCTTTTAGGTCTTGACTGACGATTATTAGAAATACATAGCTATTTATAAGATTAAAACGTAAACAAATATTTGTAGAATTTGAGGTTATGTTTTGAAACAGTTGACAGCTGACTTTGACAGATTTTTTTTTATTAACCCTTCAAATGTAAATCAACAATCAACAATATCTTTTCAGTGAATGATTTAATGCGAGGTATATGACAACGACTTTCCTAATACAGAATAAAAAGTCGCACTCAATTTCTGAACATAATACTAAAATGCCAAATGCAAATCAGACAGATTTTTACGTGTANTGAACTTTCATGATAACACAAAAAAACATGTACTTAATAGGCCATTATTTTCTGTAATCGCTCCACTAAAGTGGTAAGTCGGAGATTCCGTATTTCCGTTACATGTTTTTGACTTTCTTAGGACTAACTAATGATTGCAATTCTCTAAGTTTACGTTACGTAGAACACATTTAAAGACAATAACTGAACAGAACATTTTTTTATCCACTACGAGGAATCTCTTGCCCTTCATCTGACCTGATGAAAACTGATGGATGATCAGCGAGCTTCACTCGGAATCCTAATCCACAGAGGAATTGGCTGTCCTCTATAGGTGGCCTTACCACTAGACCACAGTGGTGGTTGTTATTTTACGATTAAATTCGATATACCTACATATTAGAGTGTGAGAGAAAGAGAAAGAGTTTGTGTGTGTGTGTGTGTGTGTGTGTGAAAACGGTTCGAAATAAAGCTTTGAAAGAATTGAAGTCGGGTTTTTTTATTCGACTTTAATTTATGAGATATAAAACATTGATGTAGCTTAAATATTTACGAAGATACAGATGTGTAAGCTGGAGACACGGTACTCCAGCTCGCACATAGTTTTTTGATCGTGGTTTTAACAGTATTTGAGCTAAAGTCTTGAAAAGTGGAAAGCCTACTATTTGGATTCGACTGTAATTTTTGAGGTATAATACATTATCGTAGCATAAATATTTACGAAGATACAGATGTGTCAGCTGGAGACACGTGTCCTCAGCTTACACATAGAAAACAACTCATAGTTATGAAGTTCTAATGGCTCTAATTGAATGACTGAGAGGTTTGATGACTCTAATTAGGCTTTTATTGATGGTATACTTGGAATTGCTCTAGGGCCAATGAGGAAGTTGGAGACATACACGTAGATTTTTTGACATTTAAGAAAGAACAACAAAATCGGCAACCAAAACGGGATATTTTTAAATCAATTAAATATTTTAAGTACCCAACGTAGTAATTACTGATCGTGAACAACAATCAATATACACATTTATCTTAAATTCTATAAAGTAAGTATGTTTTACGTAACTTTATGTGTATAACCTCTATTCGAAGACTTTTATTTATCACTTCTGAACTTGCATTCCAAATAATGATAAGTAATTATTTTCAGATGTGGCCAATATTAATGCAGTTCCTTCGGTCGAACGCGCCATACATTACCTTACCAATAGCAGCCGTAGTCGGCGTCATAGGATATAATCTAGAAAGCCTACTATCAGATAGATATACTCCTTTTAATAGTAAGTATTTGCACTTAAGAAACTGCTGCTTAATAAGTTCAATCTATACTAATATTATAAATGCGATAGTAACTCTGTCTGTCTGTCACGCTTTCACGCCTAAACCACTGAAACGATTTTGATGAAATTTGACATATGAGTCCCGGGAAAGGACATAGGATAGTTTTTATCCCGGTTTTTGAAACAGGGACGCGTGCAATAAGGTTTTTCTGTGACAGACAAAATTCCACGCGGGCGAAGCCGCGGGCGGAAAGCTAGTAAGCTAATAATTAATTTCTTAAGCTTTGTGTTGTAATGGGGCACGAGCCAAAAAAAATGTTACCAAATAACAGAAATTCAATATTTTGCAATGTGTTTTTGTGGCTATCCCTGAGCAATTTTAACCTTGTCTGTAAACATAATAAACGAATGCACTCTACACTGAACTATTTTATATTGACATTACATTGAAATAAACTTTTTCAGAGGCTGTTCAAGACCAGAGAGTGGACAGACAAGTGGAAGATGAAGTTTTAAATGATCCCACTAAAGTAGAGAAGCTGAAATACAAAGAAAATGTGTTTGGGAAGAATGTTGCACCATCTTTGCAGAACAAATAGTCAAAAAAATATTTAGATAGTATTTATTTTTAATTCATAATAGCATTTAAAATAAACACTTTATAGTCTTGTCTGGTCTGGGTATGCTAGTTTTAAAGTTATGAAGTTACTTTTAAATCAATGTTTTATTTTCAAAATCATATTTCAAAAGTGCCTTGTATCTTTTGAAACTACTTAAAATACTGATTAAAGTGCAACTTTAATATTATCTTTGGCAAAGGCAAAGATGTGCAATTTTTAAATAACATTTATCATTGTTTTTAGTTGATCAAACTAGTTTTAGTGAAAGTGATATTTGTAAATATTTAAATGAAGCATTAAACGCTATTATTGTTGTTATAATTGATTATCATTTTTTAAAACACTATTTTTTTAATCAATTTGTGGCTGCTGGCTTAGTGACCGCAAAAAACTCTGTCCAAGGTTTAATTTCTGGACAATTTTAAACCTGCTTAAAAATATTAAAAAACATACGGGTCGAATTGAGAACCTCCTCCTTTTTTGAAGTCGGTTGAAAAGACCACCTTAGCCCTAGGATTTTAATAAAATTTTAATTTCTCCTACACTGAAAGAAATACATGTGAACTCATTTCTAAAATATCCTTTTTGCAAAGAAGAATATTAAACTTTTTGCATATTATTTACATTTTTTTTGTTGACTTTTAAAGCCGTGTTCACATGTTAGAGAATATCGCTAGTATTTAATAGCTCGGTCACTCGATATTTTTTAGACTGGCAACAATCATCTGTCAACAATTAAAAAGTAGCTGCTGTCATTTATCCGCTATGAAAAAACGATTGCGCTTCGCTTCTCTTTTGGAATTTATGGTACTGTAACAAGGCTTGCTTTTGTGTTACCGCGTCGTAATGTTGTAAAATATCCTCGAGAAACACATCAACAATGTGCGATTAACGTTTCTATCGCAACAATAAGCTGTTTACGCGATTTTGGTAGCACAGCATCGCGTTTTATGGATCAATATTGTGGAGAGAGCTATGTGCGTATAGCGTCTTGGTAGCGTCCGTCGGGTGTACAAATGGAGGCGAAATCCGGCGTCGGTATACAAGACCATTGGATGAAAAGTATGATGGAACCGGCTGGCAGCGACAAAGACAATCGTTCGTCAGTAAAACGCGAAAAAATGGCGGAGAGTTACAACGGTGCTGAAACTGTGACTTATGAACTGAAACAACAGCAAAACGAGCCATCGTATAGATGTGATGTGTGCGATTTAGCGTTCGAAGGCATGGAGTATTTGATTTTGCATAAAAAGTTCCACGGTAACGACAAAGATGCGCCGATTATGGAGCCAGAGCCTCCGGCAGCGAAAGAGGGGCCGAAAAAACGTCGCAAATTCAAATGCGACCAGTGCGACGTGAAAGTGAACTCACAGTATCATCTGGACATACATAGAAGTAAGCACGAAGGCGCAGCGTCCAAAAAGTACGTTTGCGAAGTCTGTGACCGCAGTTTTGTGGCTGCACAGTTTCTAAAAAGCCACATGCAGACTCATTCATCAACAAGTACTATAAATTGCGAGATTTGCGGCAAAAACTTCACTGGGCAAGCTTATTTGAAGCTCCATATGCAGCTACACAACGATATAAAGAAGTTCAAATGCTCGAAGTGCGATGAAATGTTCCCAACTAAAAACTGCCTTAAAATACACATGAAAAAGCACACTAAAGTCAAAAATTTCAAATGTGACTACTGTCATAAGCTCTTTGTGTCCAAAATAACGATGGAGAAGCACAGACAGACACACGAGGGCCAGCCAGTCGATTGTCATGTGAAATGCACGCAGTGTGATCGTACGATGCACTCGTCGTTGCTCAGAACACACATCTCCCGTGCTCATCCGTCAACGATATGTGACGATGTGAAGAGACCGTACAAGTGTTCAACGTGCGGTAAGAGTTTCATCGTGAAAATCAACCTGAACCTCCACATAAGAGTATGTCACCCAGATCTCGCTGAACCCGAGGAAGACGAAGAAGACGTTATGACCGACAACTCTTAGTCTACATTATATTCTCATGTATTATTACGGATAGTTATACTTTTTTATGGTAATCATTTCATATTTTATAAACGAAGTATTTTGATTTACCCGTTAGTTTGTTAAGAAAATTAGAGATATAATGTGATGATATTTTTTCTAGAGTCCCTTAATTTTTGTAATATTTAGCTTTCTTTATTTCTTAAGATTTGAATATATGAAGACAGCAACACAATTATGTGTTTATACGCTATGTAATGAATTTTAACGGTTCTTTTCATAAGAAATTAACGCCTAACGTTGAAACTTACAGCAATATGCTTAAAACATCACAATTGTCTTCCTGTTGACTGACAGAGATTACCGATACAGCCTGGTCGAGTTAACTGCGTACCTGGCAGCTGTGACGTCACACCGCTCTGGTACGGAAGGGTAGGTATAAGGGAAAATCGCATTCCAGTGAGTTGCGCAGTTAACTCAGGCTGTAGACGTCATAGAGACTTATTGTTGCCTTAACTCTATGTTTTCATTGAATTTATAATAAACAACCTATAGCCAATATGTAACGTTTAATTACTAACAAACTCCACAACTGAAGTATTAGACAGATATTGTTGCCTGAACTTGTTTGAATTAAGTTTTAAGAATAAATAATCTTTAGACAACTACGTACCTTTACTTACTGACCAGTCCCATCCTTGTATCTTTACCAAATTTTGAAATCATCACTCTTAGAGTAGGCGCACACCGTTGATTTTTCGTCGGCCGATAGTTTAGTCGGGCAGTTAATCAGTATGGGCATGTATGGGAGTGCGCACACTACGCCGATTCGATTTGGCGGATTCTTAATACAATTTGAAATCGGGCACAACTATCGGTCAACTAAAAATCAACGGTGTGCGCCTACTCTTAAATCAAAAGTAACCAAAAAGTTCGCAACACGTCTTTGTTACAATCGGAAAAGTTGTGAACTTTTTGACCACTTTGGGTTTCACTATTTGACGCTAACTGTGCCTACCTCAGTCAAAAGAACAGTTTCAGTCCACAGTACACAATCGGTGTATTTTATACAATGAACAATTTCCCAATACTTACTTATATATTTTTTTTTTAAATTACTTTATTTAGATGTGCAGTTAAACTCAAAAGCTGGTTCAACTCTAGGGACAGTAATGTAATGGAACATACTATTGTACACCACACTATAATATATTGTCCCCCGGGACAAACTTGACCTTCATTGGTTGGGTTTTTGTGGCGGTCAAGCTGTAGATCCTGGCTACACAGGAGTTGCAGTGGTGGGAACGAGAGGTGGGAATAGTCCCGTATTGTACACCACTCAAGAAAGAAAGAAATAGGTACACAACTCGGAAACGGCACAAATTAGGCGGTCTTATCGCTGCGATGCGTTCTCTTCCGGACAGCCTAGAAGATTTATAGTCGCTTCCCTCACAGGAGCTTACTAAGCCCTAGTTATTGTTCTTTCTGAGATCATTCATATCTCAAAGTATAAAGAGTGACCGGGGAGAGTGGGAAGTACAGTCAGCATCAAATAGTACGTGACATTCAAAGTACCTAATCAATAAGTTCGCAACACGTCTAGTCTTCTTTGTTAAAATTACTTAGGAATAAAATAATAAGGTTGTGTTGTCAACTTTTTGGCCACTTTGAGTGTCACGAACTATTTGACGCTGACTGTACTGTACCTATAGTCGTCTCGATTTGTGTCTCTGTCGCAGTCGGATTGTATAATCCGCCGTTTTACATTACAGCTAGGCATTTTGCATTACAGCTCTTGTAAAACGGCGGTTCAACGTTTAGGCAGATTGTCATTATGGGCCCTGTAGGGCACGGCAATTAGGAGAGAGGAGGACCACCCTAGATCAACCGAAAGATGTCAGAAGTTAGCCTAGTAATTTATCGTTGAGATACTCACTTAAAGCATATAGTGTTTAGAAATTAAAAGTTCTTTAAGTTTTTATACGAATGTTAATTCTTTGGGTGTATTTTTATTTGTTGTTGTTGTCAGGCAGCGCCACGGTATTGAAAATGGGAACTAAAAACTGTCAAAGCGGCGGGTAATGACAAGTTGTTTTACATTACGGCTAGCCGCATTGAAGAACGTTTGGCGCCGAATACATTCCGGCGGATTTTCATTCAGCCGTATTCAATCCGGCTAAACGTTAAGCCGCCGTATTACAAAACAGAGCTGTAATGTAAAACGGCGGATTATACAATCCGACTGCGACATCTCGATAGTGTAGTGCAGGGGTGGCCAACTTGATTAGACATAAGATCTACTGTTTACTAACGAAACCCTGGGCCATCTACCACTTACTTCTTGAAATCTTAAATGAAACAGCATAGTTTAGTACACAATCATGTAGTATTTTTTGCCTTGCCACAATCGACTGGACTAAGTAATAGTCGCGAATCGCGATCGACCGGTTGGCCACCCCTGGTGTAGTGGGTAGTGGTGATACAAAGTCCTATTCTACGTCAATAACACCGTCTGTTATCGGCTCAGAACGTCCGGTAAATGTGTCTGACAGCAGTTTTATCGCAGCTATTGTAAGCAAATATTAGTTACTATAGGTCTAGCTTTTAATTCAGTATGTGCCTGAGGTATGGGAGCGGCATGGGAGGGTGTTTTTGTAACGTCGCGTCGTCGTCAATGTCACTCTTCCCGGGCCTCTCCCATACTTAAAGCTTTTGCCCGCGATTTCACCCGAGAAAACGGTCTGGCACAAATTTTTTCGCGCATATCTCCCCCTATAAAACCGGGATAAAAATGTATCCTGTTTTCTCTGGATCTCAAACTAATGCTATCTAATTTCATCTAAATCGATTCAATGATTAAGGTCTGAAAATGCTTCCTACTTAGTGACAACGTGGTAACCAGAGTTCGTTCATTCGTTTTAGCCAGTGACGTCCACAGCTTGACAAAGGCCTCTCCAAGGATTTCCATAACGACCGCATCCAGGCACCTCCCACGACCCTCACCAAATCGTCGGTCCATCTAGGGGGGTTTGCCTTTACTTAGAATTTTGTTGGGGATCAAAAGATTTTCTCAAGAAAACAACAGTTACTTTCGCATTTTATTCAATAAATAGAACTTAAAACTACGCGTCGGTCTTCTTAGCTGGCTCGTCGTCCGCTTCCTTAACTTCTTCTTTTTCCTTAACTTCTTCTTCTTTTACTTCTTCCTTCTTCTCTTCAGTTTCCGCTGCTTGCTGCTGTAAAATAATAAATGTGGATTAAAAATCATAACCCTCCTTTTGTCCGGTCCAAAAGCAGCCGGGTAAAAAAGCAAAGCTGATTAATTTTGTTGCGGGTCCAATGACAGTTAAACTTTCCCCCGGGACAAGCTTGACCTTCGCTCGTTGGGTTTTTATTGGCGGTCAAGCTGTAGATCCTGGCTACATAGGAGTTGCAGCGGTGGGATGGGAACGAGAGCTGTATTAAGTAACAATTTAAGACTTGGTTATTTTGCTGACGATTTTTTACTTCAACTTTTAACAGAGACAAATGAGGGATTTGGCCTGCACTTGCCAGACGGGTTGACGAGGCCTGACGTTCACATATTTTGTGCACATTTTTTGTATTTTTTCCACAGGAAGACTTGAGTTGAGACTTGGTCCTTGTGATAATTATCACCCCAGAAAGAGTAATTTCGCAATAACAAATAATATCGGCCAAGTTAACTGCGCACCTGGCGGCCATGATGTCACATGTGCGAGGGAGAGTCGCATTCCTGCGAGATGCACAGTCCGGATTGTAGGTACGAGTAATACGAGTATGGACGGATCGATTCCAAGTTCGTATCGTAAATAATAGACAATAAGTTATCCAAAATTCAACCTACCGACTTCTTAATATCTTCCTCCTTTTTGGTCTGAAGCTCCTTGCTCACTTCCCTGATAAGCGTCAGCTCTTCCATCTGCCTCGACCCGAGTGGATGGAAGACCGTCACCGGCTCCGTGGTGACGTCATTGACGTTGTCCAGGAATTGTAGGTAGCGTTTCTCGATGACTTTGAACGTTTCTGGGTCGGTTTGATCATACACGTAGAAGGGGCGATGATCCCTGCAATAAAATGTTATTATTATTAAAACAACAATTAAACTAAATCAGGCACTCTGAATAAATATGGTTAGGTCATCATCATCATCATTTTCAGCCATAGGACGTCCACTGCTGAACGCAGGCATCCCCCAATGATTTCCACAATGGCCGGTTGGTGGCGACCTGCATCCAGCGCGTTCCCGCTACCTTTATGAGATCACCTCGTGGGTGGACGTCCTACGCTGCGCTATCCGGTACGAGGCCTCCACTCCATAACCTTGCTGTCCCATCGGCCGTCAGTTCTGCGTACCTACTATGTGCCCTGCCCATTGCCACTTCAACTTGCTAATCCGTCGGGCTATGTCCGCGACTTTACTTAGTTCGTTTACGGATCTCCTCATTTCTGATTCGATCTCGTAAAGAATATTGTTAGGTACTTAATCACTACAAAAGTACGTAGTGACGCACGCCAAAAATGACAAGGTTCTAACGGGACAATTCAGAAACAAATCAGGTAAAACAGTTTTATTTTTAGGTAGGTACCTACATAAGTACCTATTTGGAAGCAGGTGAACCCAAAGCAAACCACCTAGTTTAGGTTTACAACCTGGTCGAATTAGCTGCGCACCTGAGAGCCGTGACGTCACATCGACTTAGGTAGGACATGGATGTAATATTATAGGTAGGACGAGTCGAACGCGGTGTTCCAACGCAACGAGGTGCGCAGTTAGTTCGATTCGGGTTGTACTCGTGTGGTTTAGATAATAAATAGGGGGTGCGTGACAGTTTATATAAGTTTATATGATATAAATTCATTTCAATAACGTTCATATTGTATAATAAACGTATATTATAATAACACTTGATATAATTTTTTAACATATAATGTTTACTTCATATAATAAATCATTTCTAATAATGTCATTTCAGATACCAATCAAAACGCATAAAGACATTTGATATAAACCTTACTTAACCTAAGACTCATTTGATGTAATTTTGTTTAATATAAATAATATTTCATATAACCATTACATAAAATAAATATTATTTGTTATAACGACTATTTGGTATACTCTTTAATTGACATAATTTCTGATAGATATAACTTTTAGTATGTTCTTCTTTAGCTTGACTTATAAATGACTTTAGTGACAAAAACGAATCGCCGTAAAACCGACTCCACGTAGTCTTGTCTGCCCTACCCCTAGAGTGTAATTTAGAAGCGCGTAGGCACGGAGGGGCGAGGCGGCCCGCGGGCTGAGGAGCAGGTGGCTGGAAGCGAGGCGCCGCGGCTGAGGCTGGCCGGCGAAGCCGGCCAGCAAGCCGAAGACGCGGTATCGAGCGAAAGCCATCTGCGACGATTAGCACGCGAGGGACCGCCAGAGCCCCGCAGTGCCGGAGCCGTGACAGAAGTCTCAAGTTTTTAGTCAAATTTGCATGCTGCATGCCTGCTTGCTTGCTTGCCTGCTTGCTTGCTTGCTTGCTTGCTTGCTTGCTTGCTAGCTTGCTTGCTTGCTAGCTTGCTTGCCTGCTTGCTTGCCTGCATGCTAGCTTGCTTGCTTGCTTGCTCGTTTGCTAGCTTCCTTGTTTGCTTGCTGCATGCAATGCTTATTATAACAATTGAACTTTATATAAAATTATTATTGTTATATGATTTAAGTTTTATAGGAAAAGAATTTTATCTCATTTGATTGTTCGACACTTTATTTTTATATGATTTGAATGTTATTTGTTTTAAATTTTATACATTGTAAGTTTTATAGAAAATATTCATTATATCAAACCATTTTATATCAGTTAATAGTTATTTGTCTTAAAATTATTCGTTTTAAAATTATATTATTCGTTTATTATAGTAAATAATTATTATATTAAATGATTTTATATAATTTGATGTTATATCTTTTAAGTATTATATGATATGTAGTTATATCATACATTACACACCCATAAATAGGCATAGAAAAAACAAATTTACTCTGGTAAAGGTAAGTAGGCCGATAAAAAAGTCTTCAATTTACCTTATTAAACTAAGTTTAAAAAAATGTTTTGGCAAGGAACTGACTTAACCCTTAGTCGTAATAAAGTAATAAGTAGGTATAAAACCACAGGTATGTAATAATAAGTAGGTAATTATGAGTAGGTATGTAATGTATGACTTACCAAATAATGTCAGTCATGTTGGAGGTGGACTAGTGAACACGGTGATGGAAAAAAATAGAATGTTCCCATCAATCTGCATGGTTTACTACGTTGCTTCCACTTTCAGGGGTCGTCAACATTTTTGATACTGGTGACATTTATTAACGACCTTGTTTTTAAGTACCTACTTGTTTTGTACTTTATTAATCTAAGCTTGTTTTGCGTGACCGTAGCTGTATAGAGTTATTTAAACCGCTTTATTCAACTCTACCTCAGGCTACGCTCAAGCCATTTTTCAACGAAAAATGGGGTAAAATCATGGTGAAGTTATCAAAAATCACCAAATCTTCTTTAACAGTTCGTTAATTTTTAGCAGTTTTCTGAAATAATGTCAATAATATTGGTCAACTAAATCTCTCGCAAATAATCTAGAGTTCTAGACTAATTTATTATAAATTACTAATTGTGGAAATTGAGGCGAGGCGTTTACGTTACGCTGCAGTGTGTGTTGCAATGCAATATGGAGTTTCGTACAAAGAATACGGTCAGTATTCTATTAGCCTCGTGTTGATAAATACCTACAGTTACGATACTTTTCCGTGTCGACAAGAGTGTGCTTCGTCCTTAATCCTAAATTGAATCAAACCCCTCTTTTTACTATAAGTAGGAGGTAATTATTGCGTCACAACATTTTTGTAATAAAGTGGAATAAAAAGTTTTAAAAGTTGACGACGCCTGGCGTCAAGAGGTGATCCTAATTAATAAAACATTAATTAAAACAAAATAAACCTCGAACCAATTTGCATCAGAACGGACTGTGATTACAATTTTTAATTTAAAAGTTCAAGAATACTTAAGTACCTAATAATAGAATTCATTTACGGTTTCTACGAATACAATACAGAAAAAAATACTTTGAGAAGAATATCGAAAAAAACATTTAAATCAACACTAAAATAAAACTATAATTTATTGAATTGTTTTTAGGGTCTTGTTTTATTTAAGTACTACCAGTACTACTTAGTATTATTTTGGAAAAGAAAACACCATCCTCTAATAATAAATTTGTATTCAACTAAACTAATAATAAATTCGTAACTTAACCCTAAAATGCGCAAAGGGTAAAAAGTTGCAAATGTCATGCCATCTATCGTCTACTTTGCGAACTACATAGCACGTATTTTTTTTTACAAAAAAATATAGAATTAATTGTTTAAGTGTAAACGACATTATCATTTGGTTAAATTCTTAATACTTACAATACGATAATACATTGTAAACATAACTTAGCGACATTTTGTAATTCAATAAAATGAAAATTATTTCAAAAATTCTAGTAGAGTGAAATGGAACGCAAACCAACCCCAAGGCGAATGACTCACGGACGGGGTGAGACCGAAGTGTCGCGGAAAGAGCCGAGCAACCCCGGCGAAACGCGTTTCCCCGCTCCGAAAACATAGCAATTTGACCTAGAATTTATTGTATTATGTAACACTTTACATTTTTGTACCATTTAAAAAAAATGCCAAAAAAAGAGAAACAAACTTTTTGACCAGTGCACGAACAATCGCGGCCCGGGACACAGTTATTTAGTAAAAGATACTAACGTTAAGACGGCAAATATTGATTTTCCAGTGACGTACCGAAGGAACGTTGTATGCGGATTATACAGTGTTATCATGTGCAGTTATTATTAGTTGTGTAGTGTTTAAATTGTTTAGTAAGTGAGCATCTAACTAGAGTGTTTAAAAAGTATTTATTCATTGAAATTAACTCGACGCTCTTCGGGTCGATTCCAATGCCTCCGCGAGGACTGAAAAGTGTGGAAATCTTTGGAAAATCTCAGCGAGGGTTTACGCTGCAGTAGCGACGTGTTTTAGCATTGATTTGATATAAACTATATAACTAATTTTACACGCTCTGTGAAAAGTTTTTATGTTGCTAATTCAAGAATTAATTGGGTTCATTAAAATACAAACGTAAAGAAAATATTTTTCTTTGCTTAATTGAATCTTCCGTCGTGTGGGTTGTAAAAATTTCATTATCCTAAGAATATGCGATACAAACATTTTGCGCTGATTTATTATTTTCCTACTTTTTATAAAGGACGTAAGTACTATGTAATTGGAATGACATTTCTGAGAATCATTAATCATTTAAATAGTTCAGTTTGTTTCGCAAGAAATATCAAACAAAATTACAGTTCAACAACATGCCATTAATGGTATGGAAGTTATCAATAAGTCAGAGACCGATTGTCCCATGCTTTCAGTTGCAAGTTTCGAAGAAAGACGATGCTCTGTGACTATTTTGTCGTGGATATATGAGTGGTAAATATGACGTTATTGAGGAGGAAAAGTGTGGAAAATGCATTATTGATTGACTGTTAATGAAGAATGATTAATTTTATCAGACAAATTATTGTCTTGCCTGGCTAGGGAGTTCGGTGATCTTGATTTCAAAGGTCCTGGGACCGATTCCATGGAAACTTGCAAAATAACTTCATTTTGGTTAGGACTTTGCTGGGTTGAATCAGTAATGTTGGAAATGACATTTTCCTGCATGATAATAGTCCCAAATAAACATTCAATCTTTCTTTCTTCAAAGGGCACAACATTCCTCGGTCACACTAAACTTTGTCTGAAGACTCGCGGCTCAGCTAAAGTTGGACACTACCAGTTGTGATATAAGAATAACCCACACGATTGAGGACGAAAATGCCAAGACAAGTTAGAAAATAAAAGTCACATTCATGTAAAATCGACGGTGTTCTACAAAACACGTCCTGTAGATAAAGCTATCAACGAAAGTACTTAAAAGGTATTAAAATGCGTAGGGTGGCTTATATAAATAGTAACAAACCGCCAATCATCGCCTGCTGTGTACAATATTAATAAGGAATCCGGGTTAAAGGACCAAAATAGACGACAAAAGTACGTTATTCTTGAAAACAGTGCTAAAAATAGTAAATAATAATATTTTATCCAGGCAGGCGTAAACCAAAGCAAGATAGAACTCATGTAACATTCTGTGCAGAACCTAAATAGTCTAGATTCTAGTCCGTACTTCGGACAGGCGGCCCGTAGTGATGAATTCTTAAATACCTAAGTAGGTACCGCCCTTGTCACTCGTGCTCGTGAGATAGGGAAGGACAACATTCATGAGGTAGATTAGGCAGTTCGCATGTCTCGGTACTTCAATGTAGGCTAGGTCCAGAATCAGAAATTGATAGCGTAGAACTAAAAAGGATGTACGACTAGTACAGTCGTCTCGCCCAGTCTGTCAACCTACCAAATCGTAATTTTATTTTGAGGAAACTTCAATTCATTAAGTGTTAGAGCACAGGTAGACAGACTTAATACAGTGAAATAATAATGATACCATTTTTATTCTATTAAATAAGTCGGTTTTGTTAAAGTAGGTACTTAAAGTTCTCGGAAACAATGATAACGAGAAGACAAAAGCTCTTTAATAGGTAGCCAAGTAGTCATTCAAGAAAGCTTGGCAATTAGTTACTTCGATTCAAGGACTCCAAGGAAAGCAACCTTGATTCAAAAATACATTGCAACTAACTAAGCAACTCTGTTTCACTGAATTCTTCTATCTTACAAGGCATGTTTTCACGATTGGTCTTTATCATAAGTTATTCCCAAAATAGTGTGACATAAGTTATTCCCAAAATAGGTGCAACAAATTAAGCTTCTAATATGTATAATAACCTCCCAACAGTTCAACAGTCTCCATCTTCAAAATTGGCAGCCGCAGTATCTAAACTTACATCGAACTGCAAATTGGACATACTAATCTGTCAGTACTGCAGAGGTCTAGTTGAACTATTGGCACGCCTCCAAACTACATCACCTGCATTGACTGATGATCTTGAATACACAGAACATCAATCTTTGAGCCCTTGGCGTGTGGATGGAAAATATTCTTTATCAAGCTAAAAACGTTCCAACTATTTCTGCATTTCAAAGCTTTGGTATTTGAAAAATGAAAAATATTTTCCAGTAAGCCGTTTTCAAGTTATCCTACATAGCTTTGCAAGATAAGCCCGCCTACACACATCTATTAATAATTCCTTATCAAAAGAACATCACTGAGGTCTTTTCAATCGAAGGCATTGTCATCGAACTGAATGGAGCTTTACATAACATCTCGAATTAAATAGGTAAACCAAATTCCCCCAGAACGCAAGTGAACAATATGACACAACGTTTTGACTAATTTCATGGCAGAAGTGAATTTGAAATGTATTTATCAACAAATATCGTCGCGTGAAGGACAAAATGCCGTTCACGGATCTTCAACCGTCAAACATTTGACACGACTGGTCTGTCAGACCACGTTGTGGCTATGAGAGGTTTTGTCGGCGCGCCGTGAAGTCTCATCATGGAAGGCGGCGGGTCTACGGCCTCCACTGAGGCCTACCAATATGTGGGCCCTTTCAGATTGGAGAAGACGCTTGGGAAAGGACAAACAGGTGAGTGGGGTCTGACGGACCCCTATGCCAATTAAGGGTTAATTCTTGTTTATAAGTTTCTTGCACTAGTTACTAAAGGGCTTTAGGGCCCCATTGAGAAGTTTAGGGTTAATGAAGACGTATTAAAATACAAAGTTTACATTATTGAAAATATTATACCTAAGTTCATACTGTAATATCATCATAACTTTTTAGTTTGTTTGTTTTTTTTTGTGCTTTACAATTTATTAAACTACGCCAACGTGTAACTTGTAAAGGAATTGTTGCATTAAAATAATTTAATTATGTACGTAGGGAATAGTATTGCCTACTTCCCTGAAAATTCGTGACTGATTCAATTTGGTGATCGCTTCACCACTTTTTTCGTATCTACCACCTACGTATGTATTTTAGGTAATTGGCTCCGTCGTTACCTATTTAAGTATCCACCGATAACCAAAACGTTAACCTTCCCAAGGTTTTGATTTCCGAAACCGGCCGTGCCTATTTTCGGCATGAACATAAAATTTAAGACCCCACCGGGACGAGAATCGTTCGAGATCGAAACACACCCCAAACCCCAGCCCGTACGGGTGTTGAGTAATGACAAGAGTTACTTTGGTTACGAAACCTTATTGCTTGAAACCTACGTTTCATAAAAATGAGATTGGGACTCTTTGGAACAGTTTTTTTTTACTTTATGATTAAAACACTTTTTTGGGGTTAACAAACCGGCCAAATGCTTAGGTGTCAAATTAAGACACAGGAACTAAAAATGATAAGGGTAAATCGCTTCTCGGCCTTTTGACTAATAGTCCAGTCAATGAATGCTTTAACAACGGTGTAGAGAGAAATCCCTGGAACACAATTTCTGACCTCGGGACTTTATTTAGACTAGTTAGGAGGTGAACATAGTAAAAGTCCCCGCCCTTAGCCCTTAAGCCGGCGGGGAGAGGGGGGTTTAAAGGTACCACTTTTCGGTTTTTCGCTTAATCCTCGAAAACTATACGTCCTAGTGACATGGCTACTATGAACCAAAAAAAGCTTATTCAATTTGCTACAGGTGAGACAGTCAAGTTTTTCTATATCTTGTATAGTTTTCGCGGTATATGCTCTAGAAGGTCTGTAATATTGGAAATATTAATTTTGTCTTACATGTTCCCATCAGGAGAAAATCGACTAAATCAACATTAACCCATTTAGACCGATAATTATTTTTGTAAATAATAATTGATTTCTCAACAAGAACTTACAAAGGGAAGCATAAAAATCATGAAAAAAATATTTAAAAAAATAATCCATAAAAAGGGGGCCGTGGGGAGCCCGTACCATATAGGGTACAGTAGGTCTATATGCATGCAAAACATACTAGTTGTTCAAAGCAGGTTTTTATTTATTTTTGTATGACATAAAATAAAAATAAAATCACATAATCACCAGTATTACTCTTGGCATAGCTTGTAAGTCGTTTTATGTGGCACTAATCACATTTGGTTCTTTTTTCCTACCTTCTCCAAAGTTAGTGAGGATAGCTGAAGAAGACCTGGCTTCTTCTGACTTGTTACGTTTATTGCTATCAATAACCGCATTTAACAATACGGTGACGGAAATTTAGCAAATCCATCGAAGAAAACTCTGAGGATAATTATTTATATTGACACTATCGTTATCGCCTGAATCTTCGTCAGTCTGATCACCATTAGCGGCCATCTGATAAGAAAGCAGTAAAAAAATACCAAAATTGCTTTGTTTGCTGAAATTATATTTTTTTTCTAGAGTTGTGGCAATCAAGTGAAGCATCAATAGCCTAAAACAATGAAAAATAATAAAAATTAAATTACATTTTCTCGCATGATTTTGCTTATGCATAGACCTACTGTACCTTATAGGGTACACCTATTTTAGACTAGAAAAAATGGTATAAAAATAATCTCAATAATATTTTTTTCGTAGTTATGATATCTATTGTACTTTATTTTTGAAATAAAATGGATAAATAATATAATTTACCATGAATAATATGAAATATACCTTCTTGAATACATTGTAAATATTCTTTTTGTTTTCTGTCGAGGAATTTTAAAAATATTTCCGAAACCACCTGTTAAAACGCATTTTTAAATATTTTTATGTAAAATAATCACTTTAAGCTTACTGTCACAATCATTTTTACAAAATAACAACAGTTTGGTACTTCAAAATATTTTCAATAATATACCGTACCACATAGGGTACGGTAGGTCTAAATGGGTTAATAAAACATTATAGACATGCGGGAACATGTTAAGCCTAGTTCCAGGGAGGGGACTGCATCGTGCGTATATTTAGACGAACTAATTGGTGCCACTTTTGACTCCTCATCACTCAAAAAGCACTGTGCATTAACACTTCAAATTAGGCTCATATGTTGAGACTTGCAAGATAAACATCAGCATCAAATTTCATAAATATACCTCAAATGGTTATTTAGGTATTGACGTTCAAAAATCGTCATTTAGGACACTAAAATCTATCTATCACCTGTGAAATGTTAAAATTTAATGGTTTTATATTTGTTCCTTTGTATTTACACAACTACCTATCTGGATGCCAAATTTGAACTTTCAAGGTCATCTGGAAGTGGTTAGAATTTGGTCTTATAGGTCAGCCATGTAGATTTTTAGACGACAATACCTAAAGAACCGTTTGAGGTATATTTATGAAATTTGAAGCTGATGTTTATCTTGCAAGTCTCAACCCATGAGCCAAATTTAAAGTGTTAATGCACAGTACTTTTTGAGTGATGAGGAGTCAAAAGTGGCTTCAATTGGTTCGTCTAAATATACGCACGGTGCAGTCCCCTCCCTGGAACTAGGCTTAACATACTCCCGCATGTCTAGAATATTAGCTTAATGTTGATTTAGTCGATTTTCTCCTGATGGAAACATGTAAGACAAAAATAAAATTTCCAATATTACAGACCTTCTAGAGCAGTTGCCGCGAAAACTATACAAGATATAGAAAAACTTGATTATCTCACCTGTAGCAAATTGAATAAGCTTTTTTGGTTCATAGTAGTCATGTCACTAGGACGCATAGTTTCCGAGGATTAAGCGAAAAACCGAAAAGTGGTACCTTTAAACCCCCCTCTCCCCGCCGGCTTAAGGGCTAAGGGCGGGGACTTTTGCTATGTTCACCTCCTAACTAGTCTAAATAAAGTCCCGAAGTCAAAAATTGTGTTCCACGGATTTCCATCTATAATGCTTTATTGACTGGACTATAAGATCAAAGTGTTTAAAAGGGTAACTAGTCCTCTCTCACCACTAAGTAATATTGCAATACCCATGAACGGGTTATTAAGTTATAAGCTCATTGTTTAGATTAAGACCTAATTGTAAACACTTAATAAGCAATAAAAAATTTGAATTTGAATTTGAACTAAAAATAGGATTATGAATTCTTATACTGTAAACTAATTTAAGTAAAATTATCTAAACAGCTCATATACATTTAGGGGTCAGTTTGTAGGTAGGTGCTTACATGATTTTAGATTAGGTATGTGTTTATAATGTAGTATGTAAGTTTCAACACGAAATATTGAGTAACTTATGCCAAAACGCATGAACCACACGCGCAATTTAGGGTTAAGTAAGTTAAAAATAAAACGTTTTAGAATAACTTAAAAGTTATTTAAGCTTTAATGGTTAAGTTCAGGCAGGTTAAGTGTAAATTTTATAAAAAATCTATGTTAAGTAACTTGGGTGTCTCCATTATGATTACCTACCTACAAAACCGTTAAATGGAGGGACAGACTTGCAATCTTCTTGAGTGCTGGACTAGCTAGGTACTTTTATAGTAGACTCCTATAAAGTATGAAAGCAAATACGGTTTTTATTAATTTTCATCTTTTTTGATTGACAGTAACATAATAAAATTGTTAAGTAGGTATAGTTGATTCAAATCAACTGTGTTTTAATTCCTTACCTAAACGATAAGTTAGAAAATACATTACGAATAGTGAGAAATTTTTTCTTTCTTTCTTTCAAATTAAGTGTAAAGCTCTGTAAAATTATGTTCTAACGTGTTACTAACCTACCTTAATAAATAATAGAGCCTTGAACAACTTTAAACGTTCTTCAATTTAGTATTGCTGGCACGCAACAAACCTTTATGTTAAATAACCTTATAAATACCTAAAGTACCTACCTACTTACACGATAAGCTGGGTAAAGAGTGGTTTTAACTAAAGGAAATACCTACTAGCCTGTACTTAGCCGCGAGTCGGCAACTACACTTAGGTAGGTAGTAGATTTTCCCGTCTTCGCAACATTTTCATTCCAAATGCAACTTGTTCAAAAATGTTCCTACCGCTGCAACTCCTGTGTAGCCAGGATCTACAGCTTGACCGCCAAAAACCCGATCAGTGAATGTCAAGTTTGTCCCGGGGGAAAGCTAAACTGTCATTGGACTTCTAAAGTATTTATAAACTTATCAGTTTTGTTGGCCTTGCCTATAAGAAGCTCTATTCTTTCTATCTATAGCAACCTTTGGGGTTCGTCTTCGAAAATAGGTCTCTATTGAACCTTCCGCCGATTTCTGTCTCCGGCCACTTGCATCCAGTTTATTCCAGCTTGTTGCCGGATACTAAACTAGAAGATTAAAAAACCAACAATTTTGTTAACTTATTTATTAAGGGTCATTNGAAAGTTACTTCAAAAGGCGTTAAACCTGTTGTTGAGTGAATCGTTTGATTGTATGCCAATATTGCATACGTCATTACGGCTGCTGCGTCTGTGAATTTTTGTTCGAATTTAGCGAGTCTGTAAATCTCGATTAGTGTTGAGTGGAATCTTTCAACGATTCCCATTGAGTTGGGGTTATGTGGAGTACCTATGTGTAATTCCACTTTATTAAATGTTAACATTTCTTTTAAAAGGGCGTTATTGAATTCTGAGCCTGGATCGCAATTGATTTTTGTCGGAACTCCATAGAATGAGAAATACCTTAGCAATGCTCTAACTACTTCCGGTGTAGATCTATTA